GGAAATACTAAGAGGGAACACTTTTAGCTACTTTTACAATCCCTTTTATTACTGCGTGTTTTGCAGTAACTGTCCTCTTGTGTTTTCCTCGCGCTCTTGCACTCATTTTCTCTCATCAATGGGTTGTTTGTTGAAAGCCTCCTACATACACAGACGCCCACTGATTACGTCCATTAGGTTAATTACGTAAGCGAGGTCAACAGGACGACGCGTGGGTGACGGCCAGGTGACCGAAAACATTGAAAATTTCACCTGAAGATTTTAGTGCCATTTTCTTGTAAATAATTTCTATTGCCCCTGTTTATCGATATCGTCGCCTCAGCTGCGACACACTTTTAACAGGACGGACAGATACATCTCATTAAACTAATGATGTAAATTAACACTTGCCCTAACCCTGGTACTCCCAACATTTCTCTCAATGATTTCTAAAACAAGAGATTGCTACGATCGTTGAGATCCCAGATACAGCTAACGTCCCGGCCTTTTTTACAGCGATCGAAACTATAACATAGAAACCAGTCTTTAATTGATGATTTTCGTTCTTCTCATTACCTGTCTGCTTGACAATGGAATGATATGGTAAGGAGAAGTTACGTGTTAATCTCTCAGCTGAATAAAATTCAAAAATTTACGAACTTCACTTACTTTTGCTCGTGAGTAGTTTTTCAAAACTTATTCCCCATTCTTGGACTTCCTCTCTGCTCGGTCTTGAAGAAGAAACAGAACGCAAATTAAACTTTATCTTCAATGTGGTCAAATAAATCTCCATTGCATTACGCGACTTGCATCTCATTGCATTGTATTGTAAGGCGCTTTGTTGTACCGTATTGTGTTGTGTTAGTTTTACACAAGAAAAAGAATAACAGAGTTTAAGTCTCACCATAACAAAATGCGATTATTTGAATAATGCAAGCGTTAAAAATCGTGAATCTTTCAGGTGAACTGAGGGCAAAAAATATGAAAAGAAAGGAAAGCGATCTTTCAATTCTTCAACAACTTCTTAAGCAATTAGTTGAATTACAAAACCGGAAATTGTGAAAAAAAATGAGGCTTTGCGAGTGGAAGCCATTCGTCACCTTTGAGATGCCAGTAAACACGATCTACCACTTAATACTGAGCTACGAAGGCACTTAGAGCTGGTCAAAAATGCCATAATATTTTTCGAAGTATTAGGAGGCATGCATTTACAATGGGCTTTGTTCTTGTCACGAGCTGCACGTGCCAGGCCACAAGTTCTCGAAGGGATTAAAATTTGCTTTAAATTTGCATAAACATTGAATCTGGGGAACAAAAACTAGCACACATTTAAGTTTCCATTGGCCTCAAGCCTCTAAAGTAAGCTGTCGGCTTTTTCTAATTCCAGAACACACCTCTACTAAAGCGTCGACTATTTAAGTGCGAGCTGGCCACATGGACTCTAAAGGCTATTGTGTCATTAGAACAAAGACCTTGCGAGGTTAACACTATACCATGGTAGTTTTAGGAAAGGCCTATTTATACCCGTAAAATTATAAATACAAAATGAGTTACACAATTTACGAGCAAAGAGTACAATAGAACTCGCAACCAACCCGCTGATATAAAGAAATATACGTTGGGATTCGGGAAAAAGTGTTTCTGTCCCAATCTTATTAAATATAATGTATCAGTCATTCTAATTCTTTGAATATTTGGCCCTACATCCAGACAATACCCACAATTTGACGAATTTATTTCTTCCCATCAGCCGTTCAGTTGAACTGCATTAACATTGGGTAAAGAAAATGGATTTTGAATCACGTACTCATTATCAAACCTTCCGTTTCCATAAACACACAAACAGCCCAACTGCATTGAGACGATTGACTTGATCAGTGAATGACGAAGCATTACAGTTAAGAACACTTCTTCCAGAGGTCCCGAGTGTTTTGAGAAACACTTGCGTTCGTTGTTAGCCAATGGTTTCCGCGAGTATCTTATCGAACATGAAAATAAACGCGATAACTGTGCGACAAACTTCTTGAACAAAACGTCACGGGATTGATAGCTGATCCGATATGACACAGCGCCGGTTTGACTCAAGTTTCAAGTAACAACCCTTCCGATTTTCATCCTTAAAATTTAAAACCAAAATATAATATTCCTCTGCTTCCGGCGTACTTCACTCATCCTTATGATCGTGTCGGACAAGCAGGTATGTACGCAATTTGAATCTTGCCTGTACAGAACAACTTAAGCTTAAAAAGATTTTCTTCTGCCGTTCTACATTAGAAGCTTTCTTTTTAGGTAAAAACTCAACGACGATAGAGCGAAGAACAAATTTTGTACAGCGAATGCAAGCGGTTAAAGAAATATCAACACGGCCGGCCGCTTCTCAATTCTTCCCACCTACAATAATCAGGGAAATTTCTCGTGAAGTAATCCCTGTTCCCACCTCAAGAGAAAGGCTTAATTTTTCAAGACATTCTGATAATTTTTGCCGTATTAATTCCAGCATGTTCCGGGGTCATGTCTTCCCTCGACGACGAAAAGAATAATTTAAATCACTGACACGCAACATTAACTGAAGAAATAAAAAAAATTCCATTCAACTTACTTGGGGTTGTATTTATTGTTTGGTGATGTCTCCATGCTTCCAACTCTAAATCGACGGGCAGGACTGTTGACAAAACGGAGAGATAAAAAAGAAAGATATATTAGTCGACATAATAGTCAGTTTAGACAGATCCCAGTCGACAGATCGGCAAAAACAATTCGAGCAAACAAACCGGTATCTACGTTTTATGATACTGAAATGTCGCGGTTGGGTGAAAATGATTTACATTTCGTAGCGGAATACCCTTGACATGTGAGTTTATTTTTCGCGTCGAACCAACACGAAACCTTCACCGCACAGATAATGAATGCTAAACTTGAAAAGTTGGGATTAGAAAAGTGTCCCACAGCGATTTCATGTAGCTTCGCGATTCAAAAGGTCTTTATTGAAACGTAATTTACAATCAGTTCCAATATTTCCCTTGAAATCGAGTCCCCTATGCGTCAACATCTGACCATACCATTCACCGATCGTGGTTTTAAGTTCAGTTTGATTTGACAGCCTTAAAAATCCTCTTAAAAGAAAGAGATTTATCCAGATTTCCTGCCTTTTATTAGCAAAGGGATTACAGAGACTGGAAGCAGTGAACGCAAAGTATTTAGATTAAAGACGACAGCCAGAAAGAAAGCTTCACATATATTACATTTATAGTTGAAAACAGGAGATCAGTGGTCGATGCAATAAAATCCACTGCAGGCGACCCATTAGGGATGCAACAGGGATTGATGACTCGTTCTTTTAAATTCATTTCCGCTTTGTTTTGGTAGGATGTGGAAACATTTTACAGATATTAAACATTCTACGAACGTAAACTTACTCTAAAATGACATACCAACAACTTTTTATTTTCGTCCCACTGAACGCTTAGAATAGAACTAGTGATAACCCCAATTAGCGGATAACATCGATGACAACAATCCATATCAATCGAAAATAGAAAAACCTCAAAATTCCAAACTATTAATTTTCGTACAGACTTTAGGTGTTGAATGTAACGATTCATGGAGAATGTAACCAACATCTTTATATTTATATTGAGATCTCAGTTTTCAGAAATATCTACTGCAGAATACTAAAAAAAGTAGAAGAAATCACTCCCTCGCGGTTGGTCCATTGGTGTTTCACCAACTCTTCAGATGATGCGATATTAAAAGGCAATAAAACGTCTTCTTCCCCCAGGGTCCCCCAAAACGATAAACACCTCAGGTCTATAAAATAAGTGGAGGAGGGTCTATTTAGAACATTCTGGTACATTGTACAATGTACTAAAATTAAGCGGATTAGAACCCAAGTCACATGAGATTCTGGAGTTCTGTACATTTAATAACGCACGTACGTTTATCTTACATTCCGTACAAAAAATTGCTTTACGGTCTTGCTGCTGTTCTTGTCATAACAATAAAAGCATACTTATTGATCCCCCTTCCCTCTTTTCTCGGCCAAAGTTACAATCAGTTCAAGCATACTTTTAAACTTGAGGAACAATTAATTTACAATACAAAAATACAATCGTGAAATCAGAAAGTCTTAATTGTGTTACTAATGAGGGTCACTAACCCTATAAAGTTTCCTTTCTTTCTGGGAATTCTGCAAGGTCAGCTGCTCTCAGATACAGAGAAAGAGAGTTTTACTTCAGATCTTGCCTGGACACGATATTAATATAGATCAACAAACGACAGACGTGAAATGACAATTGCATTTAAGACTGTGTAGATTCCTGCCGACACGTGTACTCCTCGAGTTAAAAGTAAATCGAGAATTCATATTTTGGACAAGTAATCTGGCGCCAGGAAATACATACACTTCAATCCCATTGTCACACCCCTTTTAAAAATAGAGAATGGCGTCAACTCGAAATTGAACGTGTTATGGAATGGATCTGCGAGATCAGGTTTTGGATCTTCACGAAAACTGCATGTAGCCAAGAGCAAATTAAACCAGAGATTAAAGAGAAAAATAAGTTCAGAAAAAAAAAATGACCCAAGACTTCAGCGCCAGATACGAACCCTGCACTGCAGCACTCTATCAAGTGAGCTTTGGGGCCGCCAGCATGTCCTTAACGATGTTTTTTTTGTTATTATTTCCGTTACACGATGTGACTGGGATAATGCACACATGAAATAAATTCAATATCACAAAGCCAGATAATACTACAAGCCCGATTACTCTACACCACAGCGCAGCTTGAATAAAATCGGAACCTGAGTCTATTCTATGCATGCTCCGACCATTCAAGTAGATAGTCCAAACACACATAATAGACACCGTTACCTATTTTATTCAAGCTGTGGTGTAGAGTAATCGGGCTTGTAGTATATATCCAAACTCAGGCGTAAATGGGCCGCGAAACCAAAAACATGTGCTCTGCGTCAAACGCTGTCTTCTGAAGATTTTACCGCTCTATTATCGTGCACCTCTGCGGTTATGTAACAGTGCAACGCCGAATCTAGAGAGGTTTACACAGATTTGAACGTGAAGAATTCTCGCTAGGCTAAACTTTAGAAGGCCTCAGCCGAGGCCCATTGCCAAGAACTTTTATCAAGGGTCATCATTAAGGGCCATTATCGAGTACAATAAACAAGAGTCATTACAAAGGGTCATTATCGCGGCGAAGCATCACCAAGGGCCATTATGAAGGGTGATTATTGAGGACTGTTGCGGTCAAGAGCCATTATCAACAGACATTATCAAATACCATTGTTAGAGTGAAGTGGACTTTAAAGTTGGTCACGTTTGTCAAAGATTGGAAAAATATTTCAGTAAAGTCGTGTCCACTGAAGAACTAGACCTAGAATTCAAGATAAAAAGCTCTCGCCGGCCACTTCAACGTTTAGACAGAAATGTCTCCAGCTCAAAACCCAGTTCCGGCTGATAGTTTTAGTACGTAGAGAATAAATGATGATCCGAGAATGTTCACTGTGTCGAAATTCAGTCAACAATTTCGGTAAGAACTATACCATTATCAGACTAGAATATGCGTACAAGATAACAAGATAGCTCTTAAATACGGTGTTAATAACAATGAAGAGACAAAACAAAAAGTAATACTCATGAGAAAAGGCAAAGTTCTTGCTGGATTTGAGTCCTTTGGTGAGGGAAGTTGCCAGGCGTTTGATGTAATATGGCTCTTTGTATAGGAGAAGATTCCACTTGCTGTCGCAATTATCATTAGACTGAGAAAGCAATTAGAATCTTCCCCTATTAAGCTACGCGACAATGTGACAAGGGGAGGAGACCTCGGAAAACTGAACAATGACTTCTTGAAGCAAAGAGATTTGTCACCGGGTACTATACCAAAGACTTTTGTCTTGCATTTCAGTGGTTGCTTACGAAATATTGAGACGTATCATCTCTTGTTTTGAATACATTTCTTTTGACATCAGTTTTCCATACCAGTGTTTCAGCTGAGTTACTGTTTTTCGCTGGAGTTGATCTAAAGTTGAGGGTATCATCCGATGTTAATCTGAGCTTCATTCCTACTGGAAAGCGTCATTGAAATCATGACAACGTACGCGAAGAGACTGGAAGCAAGAGTTGTACCCAAGCTTCTTAAAGCTCTCAAGAAAATAACTCTGGATGCGATCGAGATTTAGGCCATTTCCGAGTTCCCTCTGCCTCTGTTTCAAAACGAGGCTTCGTTCAAAACTTTTCATGCGAAGATGACGTTTGATTTGCATGAAAATGAATCTGTAGTGGGAGCAAATTTTCTTATGAGCGATTTCGCACGAATACTCGTTTTGACGCAGAGGTAAAAGGCACCAATGAAATGGCCTATTACAACGTATGACAGCACGAAATAACAGGAAGGAGCTCTATTTACCAGTACCAATCACAGGAACAACAGAAACACCAGCACAGACAACAATAATGATCTTTCCGCCTGGAGAATATCGCGGGCTGACGCGTAACTTCCTCGAACTCAAGCGTCGCCTTCTTGATGTTCGTCTCTGTGAGGTAAATTTCCAGCTGTGTGTTGGTACTCTGAAGGACAGCAAAAGTTGTTCTTCATAAACGAATGCTATGGATATCTTTCTTATAACACTACCAGACTCACTAAACTACAAAGACTTAAAAGATGTGGCGTCGCGTTAGCGACGTTTAACGAACGAAATTCGCGGACTTAGACAATTTTCGCCCATTGACTTGACTGTAGGGAACCATGGTAGTTGCGTTCATCATCTTGGACTGAATATTTGTTTTGATAAATACAACTACCATGATT